TTTCTAGAAATTAGTTCATTTTTTGAAATATTAATTTTTTCATTTTCTTTAAGCCAATTCTCCAATCTAGTTATCGAAGCTTTACTACGACCTCTTGCTTTAACAAGGTCATCTTTTACTTTAACAATATCATCAACCGTTTTATTCATGATTAGCTAATTGAATTAGATAAATATTTAATGAGCGAGAAATATGTGAAAGAATTTGATCTTTAAATTGAAAAACAGAAGAATAATAATAAACACAGAGAGATAGCGAAAATATGAGAATTTACACTAAAAATCGAAAATATAAGTAAAAAGATATATGTATATCTTTATATATTACTTGGAATATAAGTAAAAAGATCTAATAATTATAAAAAGAATAGCGAAATAACGAAAATGTTCAATAAATGTTCAAAAAGAGTTTATACGAGTAGTATGCACTTCACAAATGTTACTAAAATTAAAAAACTTACAGTTTAAATTGTTGAGTGTGATGCTAGGCGTTAAATCAGCTACCAGGATGAAGTAGTCTGGAGGCGTCCTACTGGAAGACCCTGAAGATGCTGCGTTGATGTCTAACTTGAAGATGAGACGTGCGAAGATCTCTGATTCGAAGTTGAAATGTGAAGAAATCCGGTTCGAAGGAACATGAGCGAAGATGTAGGTGTTTACCTTTGTCCTGATGGCTTTGTTTCGCGCACCAGTAATAGGTCGCTGGTTTTTTCCCTTGGGGAACAAGGTTTTTCCTTAGGGAAATAGGTTCACTTTATATATATATTTCTTTGAAGGACCACCCAGAAAACTGGGAAAAATGAAGATTCGAAAAGAACGTTTGAACAAATATATTTAAACAAATACAATGTATTTTAAACGCCGCTAACTTGCATATGATACACACTTGTCGGTGATACAATATTGACACGAACTATATTGACTGGTTTAAAACACTAATATGCCGCTGGGGCGAGTAGAGCCTGACGCTCCTTCAGTGCTGGAATTTGAACTGATACTGATGGATTTTAACTGCGAACTGATGTCCACTCTCTTCCCTCAATCACAAACATTCCAAAATCTCCCCCCTGACCCCTCGACGTATTAAAAGATATGTTTATTTTTCAAATACCTTTAACTTTCAAACCATTGATAAAAACTACCTGATAAGGGTATTTGTCTCTACTTGTGGAATTTTGGAATGCGTCAGAAGGTAATTTGGAAAATACTAATCCTTTTATTGTTACGATTCTATGAAGGTTTTAGAAACTTGTGTAGAAAGTTATTTAAATGCAAGATAACGGCGCTTTACAGATTATTAATTATTACAAAGAAATTTTATATATCTAAACTAATATACAGTATGATACAAAAATAAACTAAATAATATGATACAAAACTAGACTAAAAATATTAAGTATTGTTGTTACGCAACACTTAGATTCATCAATTCGTTGTTGTTTTTGCTCTGCCATGAGAAAACTCGATATCTATTTGAAAATGATATCCATTTGGTAACTTTAAAGTGTCAACTATCTCTTACAAGTTCACTTTATGGATTTCAATAATCATTTCTAGCGTTTCTATTTATGTTTCGGGAGTAGCTGCCTCATTTGCTGTTCCAGAGCTCTCATCATCATTGGTGTCAGTACGGCTACGTTTGAAGTCGACAAACCATCATTTAATGGTGATAATAAATGCAGCCTTTTTGAGCCTATTCTCAATTTGGAAGGAATTTTTGACATCAAATAATAGTGATAAATCAATCCATTGTTTATAAAAATCACAAAAGTAGCGTCATGTGGCACAAAACATTGTATGTGGTAAAAGAAATGCTAAACCAAGACAAAATCAAATTTGGAAATAAACTATGGATCACTGGATCCGGACGGGATTTATCCAATACTTCTATAGAAGGTAAATGACCTTATATACAAAAAAATATGTATGATACTGTAGGCTAACTTAGGACTGGGGTACATATCAAAAGCTTGGAAGCTCATACGGATGCCTTTGAAACTCAAACCTGGTAAAACCGGACAAGAAAAAGTGCTCGATAACCTCATTAAGATGGTGAATTGGTTGAAAATCCGATGCATCAAGGACAGTATGCGTACCAAGCAGAACTCTCTACGAAAATGGCACTGCGCTATCTCCTACAGAGGTGGAGTACTTTCTGGAAAAATAAAACGTTATTTTGGGTACCTTTTTTTATATGGAAGGAGCATTCTACAACATCTCCTATGAAGCAATCCCAAAAGCAATTCGTCTAAAAAGAATAGATGAGACAAGCTATAGATAGATAGACCGCATGTAGAGGAGTCGTGTGATATACGCAACCTTTCTGAGGGATACAGGGTTAGCTCAATTGGCCAGAGGCTGTTCGCAAGAGGAGTCTTATCTTCTTTTTTGTGGAATTTGGTCATGGATGGGCTGATAGCTAGACTCAGTAACGATAGGCATCATATACTGAGCCATGCGCATAACCTTGCTATCTTACCACATGAGAATTTTAATAATACAGTCAGAGATATTTACAACAGTCTCAGACTGTAGTGTTTGCCTGGACACTTAAACACTCATGGAGACACTTGCATGCATATATATGGAGACCTAAGTTACAAACTCTGTAGCAGAGGATCTAAAACAGCCTTTTATAGCTCAGAATCATTAATATTGTTCTGAAACTATTTTCTTGTGGCATTTTAAAGTAATTACTATTTTAATGGGAATAAGCCATAATTGAAAATTAAAGTAAGTTTATTGACATTTCAATTTACACTTCGGAAATAGTTGTCTTAAAAAAAAGGTGAACTATTTCCGAAGTGGAAATTGAAACGCCAATAAACTTACTTTAACCTTCAATTGAGAGTCATTAAATCGCAGATGGCAAACGGAGCAAACTTTTCAGAGACTACCGTGTGACTCCAAAACATATGGTATATACCTTCTAGACCTGTATAAGCTGGTATAGTGTTCCAGCACCCTGGAATGGGTATCATGAGTGAATGGAAGATGTACAAGAAGCAAACAGACTTCCACGAACAAAAGCGAAAGTTTGTCTTACATGTAAATCATTTTCAATTATTTAACTCCATGAAATCCTTTTTACTTTGTTCCGACCTTCTCTTCTTTTTCTCTGTCTTATTTTGCATGTCTATCGCATGATCCATATTTATGTACCTGTAAAGAACTAATTTCCTAATAAGCAATTATGTTCCGCAGTGCGAACATAATTGCTTATGCGAAGTCGGTGGAAATATATACAGAACTGAAAAGGTATATCAAGGAGATTAGGCTATAAATGAAAAAAGTATTGAAATCGTACATATCTAGGAGGAGGATTAAATCCAATAGGAACAGAAGAGCAGAAATTTAAAAGACAATAATGAATTTCAGTACAAGCCTATTTTTCACTAACTTATATTCCGCTCCAAAAGTTTCTACAGGATTAAGGTCTATTAAACCATCATTAGACCAATAATACGATATATATGGAAGACATGGGTTGTAAAAAATATAAAGTTTTCAAAAGAAACATCTTTGAAGCCAATAACAACAATGGAATATGGGGTTCCCAATACAACCATGGATACACGAACTGACCAAGGATATCCAGATTCGCCGTGGGGTCCGCCAAGGGTGTATTTTATCACCCTTGTTATTCAATTTATACAGTGAAGCCATCTCAGAATTAGCGCTTGCCGAGATCAGTGAGGGCCTTATAATAAACGGTGAGCCACTTAATAACATAAGATATGCTGACGACACCGTCCTTTTGGCAGGAACACTAGAAGAACTGCAACACCTTGCTGAACAACTAAATATATATTGCAACGATTATGGACTAAAAATCAATTTGAAGAAAACCAAGTTCATGGTATTTACAAAAGCACAAAACATCAAAGTTAAGCTTGTACTAGATAATACAGAAATTGAACAAATATCTTCGTACAAATACCTTGGAGCATGGATCACAGAAGATACTGATCAGACAAAAGAAATAAGATGCCGCATTGAAATTGCGCGGTCAACTTTTAATAGAATGAGAAAACTTTTTTGTAATCGCGATATCAATATATCGCTCCGGATAAGAATGCTTCGATGTTATATTTTCTCTACCCTTTTGTATGGAGTTGAAACTTGGACACTTAAAAAATCCAACATTAAAAACCTAGAAGCATTCGAAATGTGGTGTTACCGACGCATTTTGAAAATATCATGGATGGATCGCAAAACAAACGAACAAGTTCTCGAAAAACTAGGAAAACAATGCGAAGTTTTAAATTCCATAAAGATCAGGAAATTGGAATACTTGGGGCACATCATGAGAAGTGAAAAGTACGAACTACTAAGGAATATAACGCAGGGTAAAATCAAAGGTAGAAGAAGCGTAGGAAGACGTAAAATCTCGTGGCTACGCAATCTCCGTGAGTGGTTTGGATGCAGTTCAATTGAACTATTCAGGCGAGTAACCAATAAAATTATAATTGCCAGAATGATTTCCAATCTCCGATAGGAGTGGAACTTGAAGAAGAAGAATACAACCATGAACTTTTTTAACTGGTTTAAGAAAGAGATGTCTCGTAATTCGCTAGGCTCCAGACACTTCCATAGGCTGGTCACACAGTGAGAATATATGACAACAGATTGTCAAGAGAGCCCTAAACAATAAAATTTAGATTAAAAGACTAAAAGGGAAGCTACGGAAAAGATATGGAAATGAAATATCTAGTCTCGTCCAAGGAAGAAATTATAGGAGACTAAGTCTCAATTTGAACTGTAGCGCCATTGAAAGAAGAAGAGAATATAACAAACATATTGTAGTAATTGTCAAAAAACAGATTGGTAAAAAAACAATACAAAATAGGTAGTTCCACAGACAGAATGCCGTCATTGAATGCCTTATCAATCTTTGCAGTGGATATTAGATGTGCAAATACACCGCGATATAACACTTGGGATGTTACTGTGGGACTGTGCTGTGGATGTTGCTATAAAATTACAATTTTCAACACTCACCTATTGGCTCAACACCCGAAATATGATCCACAAAATCCCTCTTCCCCAAGTACATAGTAAGTTTCCCATTTGGGGATTGCTTTTTAAACACTCTAAAATTAAAAACCATCTTGACAAATAAGCGATATCTTTTCTACAGTGTCTGAACTGTGAACTAGATTTTCGTTCGATAATTCTCACAAAGTACCTTTTTATACATAATTTTTAAGGATTCCTAATGTAATTAAGGGGAGCAAGTAGGCAGTGGATTAGTGTTAGAAGTTAATAAGATTGGTTTTCATTTTCGTAGAAAAATATTAAATGCCAACTAAAGTTGAGTATATAGCCACATATATGAGGATATTATTTTTTCTACATCTATATTTACACGACCTATTTATCTGTTATTACTTGACTATATTTTTCGTTTTAAAATTTAAAAACTTAAATTTTTATTAAATTTAAAAATTTTATTTTTGTTTTTCAAAGCCTAATAGCAAAGAACATGGCAACTATTTAAAAATGTGCCTAGAGGGAGCAGCAACAGATGCCATTAGACACAAAATTCAGAACCAGAGAAGACTCGTGTATTGGTGCTACGAAAAAATAGAACTAGAAATAAAAATAAAAAAAAGAAATACCAAAAATTTTTGAATAAAATGGACGACGCTAAAAAACTGATACAAGGACACACACGCCAAAGTGCGAAGAATTATATGTCTTAAGAAAAATGAAGCCTAGCGACAAAATTATACCATGATAAATTCCCATGGACGTAGAAGCACAGCAAGTTGAAGAGTACTACGACAAGAAAATAAATATAATATTATCAATTACACCTGATAAATGGGATGAATATTTCGAAAGACTTTTAAATGAAGAGAGACCAGACAGACGAGAGCAACAGAACCCATAATATAAATATCCTAGCCTCATCTGGATTGGACGATAAAGTGGCAAGTGGAAGTGGCAAGAATAACGGTTGAACAAGAACTGTCGGATGAAATAAATATAAAAAGAGGAGTGAGACAAGGCTGTATTTTGTCGCCTTTACTTTTTAACTTATATTCGGAGGAAATATTTAAGGAAGCCTTAATGGAGACAACCGAAGGTATTATTGTGAATGGAGTAACCGTCAACAATATTAGATATGCCGACGATACCTTAGTCCTTGCCAATTGCGGAGAAGACCTTCAAAATCTAATGAACAAAATAAAACAGACTTGTGATCAGTATGGATTAAAACTCAACGTTAAGAAAACTAAATATATGATAGTTAGCAAACAAAATTATATACATGATGACGGTATAAAAGTCGGAGATGCCACACTGGACAGAGTAGAGAAACTCGTGTATCTCGGCAGTAATATCAATGAGAGCTGGGATCCAACCGCAGAAATTAAAAGCCGAATAGAACAAGCCCGAGCTGCCTTTGTAAAAATGAGAAACGTACTTTGCAGTCACGATCTTAGCATTGACCTTAGAGTTTGTATGATATCTTGCTACATCTTTCCTGTCCTGCTGTATGGAGTAGAAGCGTGGACCCTAACTGAGGCTATGCTTAAACGCTTGACAGCCTTTGAGATGTGGGTATACAGACGACTACTGAAAATAAGCTGGGTCGACAGAGGTAGAAATGAGGAGGTCCTTAGACGGCTGAACCAAACAACACAAGTGGTCAATATAATAAAGAAACGCAAGCTGGAATACTTCGGTCATATTATGAGACACCCTGAAAAATATGATCTTTTACATCTGATCATTCAGGGAAAGATCCAAGGTAATCGTGGTCCTGGTAGAAGAAGAACATCATGGCTGAAAAATCTAAGGCAATGGTATGGAAAATCAACTACATCGTTATTTAGAGCTGCTGTCAATAAAGTCACGATAGCGAATATGGTAGCCAACATGATATCCAACGATCGATAATGGTCATGGAACTAGAAGAAGAAGAAGCCTCATCTATACGCATAACATTAAAAGAAGTAGAAGAGATGTGAAAATTGTTTAAAAAAACAACAAAGCACCTACAAAGTGTGCTGCAAGGTGTACCTGATAGTGTGTATGCCCTGGCGGGAATAACTAGCCTCTCAGGCGTTTTGACAACTGATGAAAATCTGATCAGTTCTGCCTGATGCACGAGTAGACTTAATGTGTGTGTGGTTGTTCCATCAGGTATCCTTGAACAGGTCTCAGCTTCTAACAGTTTAGGTATATTTGAAATATCGCAACGAAATAATGAAGTTCTTGGTAATTTCATTGAAATTTTTAAAAGTGAACCTTGCTTGTGGAAAGCAGAAGATAACGGCTATTACAATCAGGACAAGAGAAAGGCTGGATACAGAAAATTAATGAATAGATTGAATGACATAGAGCCTGATGCAAATGAGACCTTCGTTTAAAAAATCAATAGGTTGAGATAGGATGTTCGAAAGGAGCAAAAGAGAATTGATTGCTCAATGAAATCTGGCGCATTAGCAGATAATGTAGATAAGCCTTCCCTTAGGAACTTTTTTTGATTTTATAAATGACCAAGGTAATCCAAGATCATCTGTCTAAAATTTATCTCCTGTAAGTGACAATGATGAGATAAGGAAAACATAAATATTCTGTTTGACAATTTGATTGATATAGGTAAATAAATTTATTTTTTCTCTGCATCCATTCCTTGCAAACTTGACAGGTATACTGCAAAGAAACGAATAGTTTTTAAACATTTATTAGCTTTTGTACAAAACACAGAAATATAAAGAAATACACAATAATATATTTCATTTAATTTTTATAAAGCGTTTTTATGGCGAACATTTGTTTGGGACACACTGTAACTGTAATCGAACGAAGGTGATATTTTGACATAAATTGGTAACACTTAGTTGACTTTTGTTTTATATTTTTACCTATTTAATAAAATCTGTTCTTTTTAGAGCAAAATTAGTGTGTTTTTAAATTTAAATTTAAATAGTCTTTGTAAAGAGATGGTAATACTTTTGCAATAATTATGTGACCTATTTGATTTAAAATGGAGTAAGGATTTTTTTATACTTTGGCAACTATGTCAACTTTAGATCTCTGTCAATGATAATGACGTGCAACGGTATAGTATATTACATAACGAGAGTTGTAAGAAGCTTATTACATGCAAGTAAAAAAGTTGCGCGCGAGCCGCGTAGCGGCGAGCGCAGTAATTTTACAAGCATGTAATAAGCTTACAACTCAAGTTGTGTACTATACTTTTTCTACCATTATTTTCGTTTATAAAAATAAAAATTAAATTACCACTATATTTACACTGACAGATTAATAATTTTTAATCTGTCAAAATAACGTCCGTTTATTCGTTTCCATGGTAACTCGACCAACTGACTTACAAGGCTTATATGATATTACACATTTTTATAAAACTGAAGCGTAATTTTTTTTATTACGTGCTAGTCATTACGTGTCAGTATCTGTTATGATGCATTTACTTAGCATCCAAATAGTAGGTAATATACAATTTACTAGTAAGAGAGTAGAAAAAGTAAATTACATCGAGAACTCGATTGTAAATTAGATGAAGTAATCCGTTACCGGATTTGTATTGTACACTTGTCAGTCTGTTTGTTGTTGTTCAGCAACAAAGATATTTCTTTGTATTGTCAAGAGCGTGTTATTTGTCAGTTTTTTGTTTACCTGTGTTTAAGAATAATGGAAAGTGACTACTCAGACAGTTGCAGTTAAACTGATGACTCGTTCAAAAAACCAATGAGTAAGAAACGAAAAACAACAGGTCGAGTTAAGGATGTTATGAGAGATTTGCGAGCAGCGTCTTACGAGCTTGGGCCGGATTGTTTATGCAAAAAACTTAAATACTTTCAGAATATACCAGAAGAGGGACAAAAATGAATCATTCAAGAGTATAATCTGCTGGGAGATAGAGAAAAGCAGAACTCTTATTTAAGTGACCTCATTACAGTGTTGCCTATAGTTCAAAGACGACCTCGAAATACAGATCCTAGATATAACGCAGCTTCATTTTCATATAGAGTTCGTTTGTTAAAAGACAATGTTGTATATGATGTTCATGTCTGCTTAAAAGCGTTCATGTCGCTTCATGGTATGAGTGAGGATGAGGTTAGTTACATAAAGGCTGCTCTGCTTAGTGCTGGTAAATCTCCCACTGACTGTCGTGAAAAACATTCAACAAGACCCCAAAAACTTTCACACGAAACCAAACAAAATGTATTTACTTATTTGAAATCTCTTAAAGGGAGAAAATCACACTATTCGTTAAAAGACACCAACAAAATTTACCTTCCTGTTGAGTTAAATATTTCAAACCTACATACCATGTACTTAACTAACTATCCAGAACATAAAATTTTGTATGAATCATTTCGTGGGATTTTTGAGAACAACTTCAATCTTTCCTTTGGTTATCCACATAAGGAGTCTTGTATTACATGTGATTCCTTTAAATCATAAATTTTAGCGCTTGAGGAGAAGCTTAAAAGTGCCACTGAGAAAGGAGAAACAAGTCAGAATCTGCAACAAAAAAAAAGACATAAAGAGAGGTGCATCTTAAGAGAGGTGAGCGTTTTTATACATAAAAAAAAATTACCGAAAACGTTCCATGTAATCAATCACGATGGAATCTGTTACCATGAACTTTCAAAAAAACCTGCCGTGTCCTAATATTACGACTAATGATGTCTACTATCGGCGCCAACTGAAAACCCCTTTTCATTTACAGTGATTGATTGCGAAGTAGATGTAGTTTTACAAAATAGGACTGCTTACCTATCATCACTTTATCCCCGAAAATTTCCATTTCCCACGAGATCGATTCGTATGTTGAAAATTTCGGCAACTGAACGTTAACTTGTGTTCTATAAACATTTTTTTTGCATTCCCACGTTATGCATCCTCAGTCCTTGAAAAAAAACCTCCTTGCAAAAAATCAAAGAAAAATCAAGGCGCAGCCACTGCAGTAATTACTCCGTTACAAAATTTGTACAATGCAAAATGTCCAATACCAGCTGCAAAATATCGTGACCTTATTCATTTATCAGAGTATTTGGAAAACCCCGAAGCAAAGCTTTTTTATCAAAATTTAACTGCTGACGCTGTTCAACAGGAAGAAAATGATGACGAATACGCTGACGACCTCCCTAATTGATGATGAAGAGAATTGACTTCAGACCGTTTTTTAATAGTTTGTTAGGTTTTACTCTGGTTTTTAACTGCAAAAATATTAACAAAATTCAATAAATTAATTAAAACGGTTTCTATACGTTTATTGTTTATTTTTTTAGCCTCCAGATTTGAAAAAACAATAAAATGGTTGTTTTCCCGAAAATTACTTTTTTTGACTGACGGGGTTTTTCCCCTGTGCCCTTCAAATATTAAACAAATTGGTAGAACATTTTAATAATAAATAAAAGTTAGTAAAATTGTTACAATATCCCACTTTTGACTGGTTATATGACTATAACAATATGTACCAACAAAAATTTAAACTTGTTTTAGTAATTTGGCGTTATACGAATTGAAATAAGCAAAATTTTATTAAAAAAAGTATTAAGAAACAAATATATTATACACCATTGCGATGATTTACTTTCTCGTGTTGATGGAGCCTAAGTTTGAAATGTTTTTGTCCTTGCTGCTTTTTGATATTAACTTCTCCGTTAATGATAATTTCTGGTGTTTCGGTTCTAATATCATTTATTATGCCTCTGTTCTTCTTTGTCTCTGTTCTTTGATCTCTTATAAAGCGCCGTATTTCCTTTTTGTGGACCATAAAAATCATGTTCTATTTCTTTTAAGAAACGTTCTCAGTGTTTATTGTAATTGCTCATGTACAAGAGGTTTCTTTTTATTTACTTTTATCCTTTACTTCTGCACAGAGCTATAGAGCTTTTCGTCTGAGTTTTGATTTTATTACTTATTTAATGTATAGTTGAATGTTAGGAATTAAATATTGGATTATTAAACTCATTCTTAATGTTACATCATATTTTCATGTACGTAATAATACGTAAAATATAAAATTATATATAAATAAATAAAATAAAAATTATGTAAATGATTATGTAGAAATCTCCAAATAATTTCTCAAGTAACCCTCGTATATCAATTTTCTCAAAAATCAATATCTAAGTACAACCAACATTTAAACCAAAAATTTTACTATAAAAGTGGTTATATTATTATTTGGCGCTGAAAATGTAAGCTTTTGATTGGTTGAAATCTGAAACAAATGGTTAGCAAAATGACTGCTTTGACATATGTTAAAAGTGACAGCTTTTACGTTAAAACTTTCTCACAAAACCAAACGTCATTGGCCAAAACGGTACGAAGACCTCCGAAGAGTCAACGAACAAGTATGATCTCTGTTGTTGGCGATCAGTGCAACCAACATCGTAATAACCGGCTTATTTGACATAAATCGTTGTTTGCCTTTCATTGTAGCGTTTGCGTTTGCAAACTTTTTTAATTTATAAAGCTTTTTTAAGAAGTATAAAACGTAATAGTAGCCTGAAAATGGGGGATAAAGGGGATGCCGAAACGTTTGATGATGCAGTTGAAGAGAGAGTAATTAATGAAGAATATAAAATATGGAAAAAAAATACACCCTTTCTATACGATCTAGTGATGACCCATGCTTTAGAGTGGCCTTCTTTGACTGCCCAGTGGTTACCAGACGTCACTAGACCAGAAGGAAAGGACCATTCTATTCACAGACTTATTTTGGGAACACATACATCCGATGAACAAAATCATCTTTTAATAGCCAGCGTTCAATTACCGAATGAAGATGCACAATTCGATGCTTCCCATTATGATAATGAAAAAGGAGAGTTCGGTGGCTTTGGATCAGTTTCTGGTACGTATTTGAAGAGTAATACTTTTTTACCACCCGTACTTATAATATTTGGAGTGAAATGATTTTGTGATTTTGATAGAATGATAAACCATCCTCTCTTATAAAATATAAACATTTATCGATACTTTATCCTTTTATTCAAGTATTCCAAGTTATTTATATCAACCTCATCTCTGACTGGTTTTATTCGTGTTATTTTTTTAGTTATGTCTTATATCCTAACCCTATTTATAAAATATGTATCAAGGATTAACATACATTTTTATTTGTACAGATACATAAGGTTCGCTTTTGTCACTACAATATTCACCAATTATTTTATTATTTTTAATGGAAATTTAATTTTAAATTAAAAATTTTAAACTAAAATTGTGGTTAATTCCCAATAATGAATAAACAATATTAAAATGCCAGGAAAATAGCTTCAAAACAATAATATTCACCTATGTATGATCAAACTAAATAGTTGCCAAATTACTATTCTATCAATTTAGGTCTGCATACTTCTGAAACATTCATTGTTTCTAGAAGCTTAAGTTCTCTTTAATTTTAGCCTCTAATGAGATCAAAAAAGTTCTGAGGGTTGGTAAATGTGGTGCTAGACCAAGACACATTACAATTATTCTAAGTAATTCCCATTTGGTTAGCGAAGTCAAAGAATAAATTTACAACTGATGATATTCAGGTGGCAATGGACAGAACAAAACTTCATCAGGAACAGCTACATAAGGTTTTACATGAACTTAAAGCTAGAAAAGAATGGGAAGGAATATGACCTGATGATTAAATTTATTAATGGTATCCCTAAGATTTTAAGAACCAGTGGCCAAAAAAAAACCAATAAGAGGGAGATCTCTTTCATAGAAGTATCTACTACCAAAATCTTGGTGGTATTAGAAAAAAAATTGAATGTTTATAAGATTGTCAGTTTTGGCATGTAACTTTGTTATAATATTGGTGTAAACATGGTTAAATGAAAAAATTTCTACTGCAGAGCTTAGATCGCTGGGTTACACAATATTTCGGGTTGACTGTGATACAAACACTAGTTCCTACTTAAGAGAAGGAAGTGTACTTGTTCTAGGGACAACCATGAACTCTACCAACTGTTCAAAGAGGCACTGATCTCAGAATTCGTTAACCTTCAAGGACTTTGATGGGCTGGTCATGTAGTTAGAATGGAGAATGAAGGATTGCCAAAAAGAGCCCTTGATAATAAAATGCAGGGCATGAGACCAAAAGGAAGGCCAAGGAAAAGGTAGCAGAACAAAGTGACAGTAAATGCACATTTGCTACATGCAAGAACCTGGAAAAGATCAGGGCAGGACCAGCAAGGGTGGAAGCATAGGTTGGAGGAGGCTAAGGCTCGATTTTGGGCTGTAGTGTAATTGCAGAGAGAGAAGTGTACTGTGGCCATCAAACAGTGTTCCAGTGTGCATCAGCTTACTATTTCTCCAACTGCACTTTTTTATTAGGCTTAATATTGGTGGCAAAAATATTATCTTGAGTGCATCTTATGTTCCACAAAGGTCTGACATTAACATATATTTGACCTACTGTACTATGATTGAAAAAATTGCCATACAGAACCCTGAATCATTGCTGTACTTATTTGGAGATTACAATTTGCCTTTGGCTTTGTGAACTTTACCTGGTGAAGATGGTTTACTAATGCACTGCCCTATGGATTATCCTGCTACTGGTATAAATTAATATTTGTCTTTTTTAGATTTAAAACAAGATAACCCCATACATAACTCTCATAATGTATTCTTAGATTTATTATTTTGTAGTAGTCCTGTCAGTAACTGTAGTTGAAGCCTCTGATTTAATATTGGAGAATAATTTCCATCACACTGCAATTGAATGTAACATTTGTTTAGGTACTACTTTTAACCAGCTCTCATATACTGAATCATACTTGGACTTTAAAAATGTTGATTATTGTGATTTTAATGATTAATTTTGGACTAATCAATTGGGATTTAATTATTGAAACTCTAATAAAAAATTTTTATCAGGAATTGAATAAAGGTATTGCAAATTTTTTTCCTATTAAAAAGTTTGTTTCTTGTAGTTTTCCTTGTTACTATCCTCCCTATGTCAAATGTACCATATAGATTAACAGGCTCATATGAACTTCAAAAATTCTCATTCTGGAAAATTCTGGAAACTCGTTTAGAAAACAGTATGAAATTACCAATAATTTGTTTGTAGGTGAGTGCTATGATACTGGATCTGGAATAGCTAACCTTTTTGCATCTCATTTTTCTTCTGTTTACCCTAATGAAGGATTGTTTGTAACCTTTCTGATTCTGATCATTTAGCTGCTGTTAACATTCCTGTCTATAATATAACTCGTGCGGAGGTATTATCAGGTATTTAAAGTTTAAAGGATAACAAGCAATGGTCCTGATAAGATTCCTTCTCATTTTCTCGTAAGGTCTGTTTATACTTTGAGTAAACCCATTTGCATGTTGTTTAATCAGTCACATCTAACTGGAATTTTTCCAAACATATAGAAAAACAGTTTTGTCAAGCCATTACATAAATCCAGTGTCAAGTTTATCACATACATCTAGGGATACATATTATTACTTGTCAAACCAGTAGCATTGCATGCTAGCTGTTGATGGTTTTATCTTGATACCTCGCGTTTTTAACAGCTGGAAACTCTAATTTCAAGCATTTTTTCTCAGGCAAACTTACATCATCATATTAAGAAAAAAGTTAGCTTTAATTTAATATAAAAAACATGCATATAGGTATGACATAAGCAGCAAATTTTTGTCAAAAAATGAATTACTAATAATTGAATTAAAAATATTTGCTGCCACTTTTTGACTGGCAACCTATCAATGTATTATAATTTTAAATGTATGTACCTATAAATGTGAGTTTGGTGAACTATGTTATGAATGTAGTGATCCTGCAGCAGGATCTAGTGATGAGAAGCTCATAAAGCTCAAATGACCCTATGAATCATGCCGATGAATGACGCTGTCTAGTGTTTACGAAAGAACTGTATGATCGCTACACATTACTCTGTCAAATTAATGCATGAACTGCAAAGGATCATTCAAACAATGATTTCAGTTTCCCAGAATAGCGAAACCCTTAAGTTGCAAAACTGTAAAATTATATACATTTGAATTGTCGAGTTAATAGTCCAGTAGTCTGTTCTGTTTATAAATTTGTAGTAAATAAAATCCATTTTAATTGTTGCATTATCATCACTATCATTACCGTAGTGTATTTCATGACCTCTCTGTCCCATACAGTTATAGTATGATAGCTGATCACTTCAAAATGGTCTCTATGAATCAGCTTCATGGGCAAAAATAAAAGATTATTTTTGCCTAATATTCCTTTACAAAATTGCTAATAATTTGATAAATTGCCCTGAACTTTTAAATCGATTAGGTCTTAACACTTCATGGAACTAGGCATACTTCATTATTTCATCTACCATTTCATCAATTTAATTATGAATACTTCAAGCATCTTACTCATATGGTGAGACTATAATAGGTACCAAAGTGATCTGGACTTATTTTTCCAGTCCTTAGAACAATTTAAAAATGTGATAAAGAGACTGCTATTTGTGTGATATTAGTTTGTATTCAAGTTGATTGTTAGTTTTTGTTAAACTTTACTAATTATTTTCCAATGTTATGCAAGTATTATTTTTTTATATCTTAATGATTTCTGAAGATGATTTGAGAAATACAAATCTTAATTTCAGTCTTAAACTATATTTCATTCCTTAATTTATAGTAACAATATCGAATTCTACATATAAACAACAATATAATTAAAGTTGTTCTAATGAAAGAATCTCTATGAACAGGTCCTGCATTATCATTAATTCATATACTCTCAGAAAGGTTCATAAACATAACAATATTAAATTCTACACACTTTACCTTCACACAACAAATTTAATTAGTGGTTCATATGAACAGGTCATTTTAATGAATGACCTGCAAGACCCAGGTCACTGAAATGAACCAGGTCTTCTTATCACTAGTGGGATCTTAGCTATAAGTGTTATTCCCAAGGTATTTGAACTACATGTGACAAACTGTAGTTCTTGGCATTGTAAGAATATGATCATTGATAAACATCATGGTTTTGTCACTGGTAGGTCCACAGTAACCTTTTGATAGTCTAAATTGATATAATTAATTCAATAGAGAGTGACAGTCAAATGGATTTATTTATTTATTTAATACAGGGGATAACCCCATATAAATTCTCTTTGACTTCTACCAGATGTAGAGTTTTAATCCATTCAAAAAACCTGACATGAAAGCTTACATTAATTAGTTTGCCCAAAAGTATTTGATGATCTACATGATCAAATGCTTTGGAAAAATCTGTGCATATTGTATCTACCTATTTATAGTTTTCCATTTGAGATAATATATCAGATTGATAGCAAACCAAGTTTGTTGCAGTGGATTTTTTGATATGAAAACCATATGTTGTGATTGAGATATTAAGCCTTTACATAGTCAAGAAAGTTGCTTGCTTTAAGACAGTTGAAGAGTTTAGGGATTACAGATTGTATACAAATGCTACAATAATTTTCAATATTGTCTTTCTGACTACTTTTAAATAGATATTACAGAGATCTATTAAACAATATAACAAACTGCATTACAAGGGTACAGACACATGTTTTTAATAAGAAATTAGGCACTCCATCTGGGCCAGCAGTAGCTTATTGGGCAGCTCATTTATGCCATTAAAAATATCGGTCATGCTAATCTTAGGACAAATATTTGTACCAAAGTTGTTGTTATTTGGTGAATACACAGTTTGGAAGAAGTTCATAAATAAATTAGTTCATCATCATTCCTCAACCTCTTGCATCCACTGTTGGATATAGGTCTCCTCCATGTTCTTCCACTGTTCTCTATCTTGCGCCTTCTGTATCCAATTTCTGACTGTTTTTCTCAGGTCGTCCATCCATCTTTTTGGTGGTCTGCCTCAGTGTCTTTTGTCTTCTCTAGGTCTCCATTCTATGAGTCTTTTGGTCCACCTATTATCATTTAAACATGCTATATGTCCAGCCCATCTCCATTTGGCTTGTGCAATTTTTTCTATGACATCTGTCACTTTAGTCCTCTTTCTCACTATCCTATTTGGTACCATATCTCTTCTAGCTATTCCCAACATTGCTCTTTCCATTTTTCTTTGGGTTACTCTCAATTTATGTGCAGAATGTTTGGTTAAAGTTATTGTTTCGGAACCATATGTTATTACTGGCAGTATGCATTGGTTGTAAACCTTTTTCTTCAAGCAAATCGGTAGCGTTCCTTTTAGAATATCTCGCATCTTGCCAAATGCTGCCCATCCCAAGCCTATGCGACGCTGGATCTCACAAGTTTGATTGTCTTTTCCTATTCTAATTTCATGCCCCAAATAGATATAGCTAAAGACCTGATGTACTTCGTTCCCATCTACCCTCATAACATCACTTGGAACTAACATAAAAAAATAAATTAGTTATGTCTTGAAAATTTATTGCAGATTGGACTTGATAAAATAAGGAGTTAGGCAGGTTATGTGTAGACCGCTTATCATCAATGTACTTCCAAAATAATTTTGGATCATTTTTTAGACCAGTATCTATACCTTTGATATAGTTGCTGAAGCAAATTTCAGACAGTTTTTTACATTCATCTCTTAGATGGGAAAATCTAATATAGTCATCATCAGAATGATTATTAACACAAATATGGATACGGGTGCTATTTATACTTACTTCACTGCCTAAAGTCTTTGATAGGATAAATCATGCTGCTATTATCAGGAAATTAGATAGAATGAACTTTCTAATATGGCTTAACTTATGGTTATCAAGTTCTAAGTTATATGCAAAAGTAAATAGTGTAATAATTTGAATAAGGATATAGCTGCTCTTTAGAACTGGTCAATACCTAATGGAATGAGTATAAGTAAATATTACTGTATTACATTTTCTAGATCTAAAGTTCCTATAGTCTTTGATTGCCAGTTTTGCAATACATCACTAAAGATAATAAATATGATGAAGGACTTCATAGTTTTCTTTGATTCACAGGTATCTTTTAATTGCCATTATAATTAAATTACTAATAAAGCTCTTAAATACTTGGCTTTGTTTTGCGTAGTTTAAGGGATCTATACCTTAATTTAACAAAGATACAGTACATTAGTCAGCTCAACTGCCTCTAATGTATGGCCTCTGTTCTGCCATTCCTGTGTCAACCCCCTCCCATCTATATGGATTTTTCGCACTTACCAAGTGAATTCGTGTGCTGACCATTATCGCTTAAAATATAGTATAGCACTACAACTTTAAAGTTAATGTAATAAAAGCTATTTAAACATATTATTGTACATAGTATGTGAGCTAAATTAAATTATATCTATAAAATACCATTTTAAACTAAAGTTATTAAAAATTTTACAAATTTAGGAACAATAAAATAAACAAAAAATTCTATTGAATTTCCATAGTGCAAGAATAATTTTATTTATTGTGGTTCTGGTCAAAAAGTTCGGAAAAGTACATTCGGATCGAATAAAAACACCTTAAATATTATGCAGACACTGCACTGCCGTATATGATGCACCTCAACTCGCATCACCATATGTAGCAAACAGCCAAGCATGATACACACAAGTCCATCATTGTATGGAAGGGGTTAATGCTATTGAAAAACTATTATGCTGTGAATATATGCTGTGATTTCTTAACCAATCCATCTTTCTTCTTGCACAGCAGTAATAAGTATGTACTTTATATTGAGTTATTGTACATATATTATATATCATTTTTTTAAATTTCCATTTGCATTCCTTATTTCATTACACTAGTTGCCATCGTAGGTTATGTCTGGCTTTAGTTGTAGATCTTGTATCAATGTCTTTTTTATGGGATATGGTTGTTAGCCCTAAGCCCAACCCCCTTGAGGCCTAGGGGCTCTTCTGTTAGTGTTACCATACCTTAGCCAAGAAATTCCTGGTTTGAGGTGCTGGAGACTCTTTCACCTATCCCATCATAGGTAGGATTTGTTAGTCTCATTGACATTTATGTTAACTAGGGCATTGCTTGTTATTTAATTACAGAAACCGCTTAGCATAGCTACTGCCACCAAGACCCATCCACTAACCATTCACCTGGCTCCTTTCTCGACTGGGCTTGAGGCCAGCTAAGGAATAGTTATCCAGAGTTATATTTAATGGATTTCCAATGGTTCATCATCACCATCAGTGGTGCTACAGCTCTAGTTGAGCCTTGACCTTCCCCAGTCTATTTCGCCAGTCGTTTCTGTTCATCGCCAACCGTTGCCAATTTGCCGCGCCTATTTTCCTTGCGTCCTCGTCCACACCGTCCCTCCATCTCAGTCGTGGTCTGCCTCTACTCCTATTTCCCACTGGGACCGATAATAGAGTTCGTCTGGGTGGGTAATTTTCATTTGCTCTTGACACATGTCCAGCCCATCTAAGCCTACCTATTTTTATGAAGGATATTACATCTCTACCATTTACTATTTTTTTTTTACCATTTTTTTATACTTCTCGTACAATTCGTACAATTTCCAATGGTTGTAGTTGCTAAATATTGATCAGAAGATATAACTTTTTTATTCCTAATTTCTTTTTCATTATTAATTTGACATATTCTCTCTTACTTTTAAATTATTTTCAAGAGATTTTTCTAAAATCTGTTGTTTGTACTATTTTCTTTTGTTTATATTTGATGTTCAGTAATTCAAATTAGATTTCTGTTCTGTTCTGTTTCTATATTTTATGATTTGAGGCACAGTGTTATACCTTTATAATTTTTATTAATGTAGTGACTCTGTAACTTCTACTTTAATGGTTTGTAGTATTTACTTTTATTGGGGGTCTTGTGTTAAAGAAATTTACTGCAGGTAACTATGTTCAGTGTTGCCATAGTTATAAAAAATACAGGGTGTGATGGAAATAAAAATTAATAGAATTTAAACTATTTGATTGATTTAGTGTTGATACATTTACAAGAAATATTTAAATTAGACTAGCCACTTGAAATTGCAGAAAGTTGGAGTATTATCACAAGAGAAATTTGCTACTTTTTCAGAAAGTTCGTAAATGATTCATGTAAGCATGCAAAATCTAGTGGAAATCAAATTGATTGAAGTTCAAATGGAATTCAAATTGATTAAATTTTCCCCATCAGTGATGAGGACTTCATTCAATTATTCTTGAAGGAGTCTTTTAAAATCACATGAATTATTATTTTGTTCCTCATGCTGCTCGCCTAACTGCTTAATTTTATTGTTTTAGCAGCATTGACAATTAAATACACCTGAAATATACGAAATGTGTACAGAAAACTGAATAACTGACGCACTAAACAAATGTCTGTAAATGTTTTCTTGTTCCGAAAATATTTTAAAAGTCCAATTGATTTACTATTAATATCAGCTAAAATTTATTCTTAGTTTATAAATTATTGAAATTAATAATGCTGGTTCTGACATCACTGTAATGTTATCTTGAAACGCACCTTCCATTTTATACAAACTATTTATATAAAATTTATTTTTATCGATATATAGATACAAAACATACAAATATTTCTATTTGCATCTCGAGGCTTGAGTCATTATAATACAATAATTAATATTTATAAATTAGAACTGGAGATGAAATATTTATTATTTTTTCTTTAGATGTGAAATGAAAATGTGAGTGAAATTGCTATACATTGCATTTCTTTTGTTAAATGAAATCTTAGTTTCTTATACAAGTTTTATGAGATTATGTGATTATTTAAAATAATATAAATATTTGATGAGTCTAAAATCAAGCTATAAATAATTACATTTATAGCCTATTCATTGTCAGATAGATGTTGCAACTAAATAGAATATCTAATTTATTTCATAAATGATATCCAGATTTATAAATCTAGTAATATAGAAACTAATTACAAATTCTCTTGTAGGTAAAATTGAAATCGAAATAAAAATCAACCATGAAGGAGAAGTTAATAGAGCTCGGTATATGCCCCAAAATCCATGTGTCATTGCCACTAAAACACCATCAAGTGATGTGCTTGTCTTTGATTACACAAAACACCCAAGTAAGCCTGATCCAAGTGGAGAATGTCATCCTGATCTTAGATTAAGAGGTCATCAAAAAGAAGGTTATGGTTTATCATGGAATCCAAATCTAAATGGGTATTTGTTATCAGCTAGTGATGATCATACTATATGTCTTTGGGATATTAATGCAACCCCTAAAGAAAATCGCATAATTGATGCCAAAACTGTTTTTACTGGTCATACTGCTGTTGTGGAAGATGTAGCCTGGCATTTACTACACGAAAGTCTATTTGGTTCTGTAGCTGATGATCAGAAATTAATGATTTGGGATACTAGATGTAATAATACTAGCAAACCATCTCACACTGTTGATGCTCACACAGCTGAAGTGAATTGTTTAAGCTTTAATCCATATTCAGAATTCATTTTGGCAACTGGTAGTGCTGATAAGACTGTAGCATTATGGGATTTAAGAAACTTAAAACTTAAATTACATAGTTTTGAATCTCATAAAGATGAAATTTTCCAAGTACAGTGGTCTCCTCACAATGAAACCATTTTGGCATCATCAGGAACTGATCGAAGACTTCATGTTTGGGATTTAAGTAAAATTGGAGAAGAACAAAGTCCTGAAGATTCTGAAGATGGTCCACCAGAGCTGCTCTTTATTCATGGAGGACACACAGCAAAAATATCTGATTTCAGTTGGAATCCTAACGAACCATGGGTTATATGTTCTGTATCTGAAGATAATATTATGCAAGTCTGGCAAATGGCTGAGAATATTTATAATGATGAAGAACCAGAACAGCAAGCATCTGATATTGAAGCTACAGCCAGTTAAGAATATTACCACAGTTCTGGAGCTGTGTATTGTTTATTTACTTATAGTACTAAAAAATTTGTATGCTAGACTTTAAATTTTTAATAAACTATAAAATATCTCAGTGACTTTAAATTTTTGTGTTATTGTTTAATTTATTTGTTAATTTAAATATTTTACGAGTATCTAACTATAAAATAATGAAAATTTTTGTTTTCAAAACTTCCACAAAAATTTTTGTTTAAATTTTTATCACTACAGCTGTTTGGGCAAGAGTGCCTTTCTCACCATTTATTATCAGACCAAGAAGATCTTGGTCTGATAATAAATGGTGAGACGATCAACAATATAAGGTATGCTGACGATACAGTTCTCCTAACGGGAACGCTAGTAGAACTACAACATCTCGTTCAAAGTCTCAATATATACTGTAACAGTTACGGCTTGAAAATTAATTTGAAAAAAACTAAATTTATGGTGGTAATCACGAAATCAAAGAACATCAGAGCTAATCTTGTAATAGACAATACAACGATTGAGCGTGTGCCCTGTTATAAATATCTAGGTGCTTGGATCACAGACGATACTGATCAAACAAAAGAGATTAGATGTAGAATAGAAATCGCTAGATCAGTCTTTAATAGAATGCGCAAATACTTTTGCAATCGTGATATCAATATAAAGTTACGAATACGAATGCTGCGGTGTTATGTCTTTTCTACCCTGTTATATGGAGTTGAGGCTTGGACACTAAAACAGTTGACCATAAAAAACATCGAGGCTTTCGAGATGTGGTGCTATAGGCGCATTCTCAGAATATCATGGATGGACCGCGTCATTAACACGCAAGTACTCCAAACTTTAGACAAAAGATGCGAAATTCTAAATGAGATAAAAACTAGAAAGATGGAATACTTGGGGCACATTGTGAGAGGTGAAAAGTACGAACTTTTAAGAAACATCATGCAGGGCAAAAGAATTGTGGGAAAAAGAAAAATATCGTGGCTTCGTAATCTACGTGAATGGTTCGGGTGTAGTTCGATTGAACTTTTCAGGCGCGCTGCTAACAAAGTCGCAGTGGCCATGATGATTTCCAATCTCCGCTAGGAGTGGCACGAGAAGAAGAAGAAGAAGCCTTTCTCAAGTGATCTATTTTTGGTATATGTTTACACTTTATAGTCTTTAACTGAATAATTTGAGGAGGGGAGAACTGGTTGTCTCAAGTTGGTCATTCAGAATTATGTCGTCTGTATTTTTTAATCTGTTGATTTCCATAGATTCTAATAAAGGTAACTTAAGGCCTTTATTTTGAATGTAAAGAATTTGAAATTTGTCGAATTAAAAAAATGATTATGGTCTAGAAGGTGGAGGTTTCGCCACATTTCAGTTTGTATACAATGCTGTGTAATTGCTTTTTCTTTTGCCTTTTGTTGTTCTTAATATGTTTGCCTAAGTTGTTGTTTGTTCTAAAAGCTGGTGTTATTTCTTTCTTTTTTGTGTTTAGCTATTTTTGTTGATATCTTGCCTGTATATGTAATTGAGCAGAAGGTACTGGGTTTTTTCTCAGGTGGTGGAAATATTAATTTCAGGGCTTTCTTATGTAGGTTTTGATTTAAAATTTTATTTATTGTGTGTTCGTTGTACCCATTGTTTGTGTGGATCGGAATACTGACCCCAAACATCATCATCTAATCTGTCCAGTGCATCTTGTTCTCGACTCAGACCTTCCTGTTTAGTTCCTTATTTCAAGCATTGTATACTAGGGATGTGTAGTTCACCATCGAAATAGTTCTAATGAACGATTCTTTTAACTGAACTAATTGAACTAGTTCATTAATTTTCATAGAACTAGTTCACTGCGAACGATTTGCATTATAGATTGTTCCTCAACTTCTATAGAAGAAAATAATGAATGAATGAATGAGAACATATATTTATTATTTTATGAATGGATGGACTAACTAGTTTTAAAAAATGCCGATTAGCCTCAGATAACAGATTCATAATTCTTGTGAATGTGACAATAACATAGTCTTATCTTAATGTCATAATGGTTCGGATCTTATGCCCATGTATTGGCTTGGATGTTGCCATGCTGTGTTGTTTCTTGTATTGTAATTTTGAAATAAAAAATTTAGTTGTGGTTAAAATGATTGAGGCATTTACATAAAATATAATTTTATGTAAAAGTGAGAATGAAAATGTGTTATTTAATGTTCCTAGAAAATTCACTGATTTTTTTTAAAGGTTCTTTTAGAAATAACCTAATTATAAATACCTATGAGTTTAAATATACGTAAATATAAAAATAAATCATACTTGAACCATATTTATATTTAAAACGGTTAATAAAAAACAAATCTTAATAATTTTTTGCAAATAAAAACTAACTAATCATATAATAATTTAAACCTAAACCAGAGAACTAACAGTTCTCTGCCTAAACAAACGATCGAAAGAAATAGTTCCGAACTACTTACGGTAGTGAACTAGTGAAAGACTGACTGAAAACCGAAGTAAACGGGCGGCCGGCGCCGAGCTTGTGTGATGATTGAGACGAGACATCTGGCAACCAGTTCTGTTAGGGTTGGATTTCGGTCCTACAAATAGTTCTTTCACGAACTAGTTCATTTTTGTGAAATAGTTCTCTTAAACTAGTTCGTCTAAAAGAACTAATAAGCACACCTCTATTGTATACTATATCCAGTCTGCTAATTACGATTAGTTCTCCTCTACCTCTTGCCCTTGTAGCCTGTGTTCTGGTGGTTATACATTCCTTACTCTTATTTTCAATCTCTTCGCACCACAAATAAAGCATTTTTCTTTGTTCATGCAATTCCTCATAGTTTCTCTTATCATTGATTCGAGTCCTTCTGCTGATGACATCTTTTCTCTATCATCCATCTAGAGTATACATCAAACGCCTGCTAGTTTGTTCTATCTCCACCTCTGCTTCCTGTTTAGTTTGCTGATAACTCCACGCTGGTAGTCCCTACTCCGACCATCGAAAAGTTAATGTAGCGGGATTCTATAGAAGTGTCATCCGGCAGCACTGCCCAGTCTCTAATTTTTCTCACCGCATTATATATGGCACAGGTGGCATTGATATATGAAGCGAATTTCCCCTAATGAACGTTGGTTCCAGACCAATATTTAAGACAACTAGGTCCAGAGTTCCATAAGCATTTGTTCACAAGCATCCGTTTTCGGAGAACCCCACTACACCGCTTTGTCGTTAAAGTTCCCTAGCACTACACACTCTCTTCCCAATAATCTTACCTCATTCAGTCTATTTTCATAATTCTCCGCTGTATAATTCGGTGAAATGTAGCAGCATACCATATTTACTCCCTTCACATGTATCGTCACAAATCTCTCATGCATATTAATACCCTCAGTCTTCTATTTAGTATTCGCGCTCATACAACTCCCGACGTATCCACTGACCATTTCCTCCTGCGTATGGTTTAGCTCCGCCGCTGTCAGGATATCAATTTCTCTTTCGGTCTTGGAACCACAGCGAGGATGTGAGGTAGCCTAGTCGTCCCCAATTTGTTTGCAGCACTTTTAACGCACGTTCTCTTCCACTCTTATTCACCATTTTGTCACTCAGTCAGTAACACCTCGTTCCCTTCTTCTACCTTCTCCTTTCGCTCTTCTGATTATTCCCCTGAATTTGGGACACCAAGTGGACGTAGATATATCGCTTGCTGAGAACATTAGTGACGTAACCTCAAAAACGTAGTTTGTAGTAAAGTGCGTTTAAAGTTTTGGGGGAAATGCAATCTTTGATTGCTCGGTAGCTGACTGACTTATTGACGTATTTTCGATTTTATTCATCTAGGTAAGCTGACAGTTCACATAATACAGTCGTTTAACTGATGACAGGGGTATTTTGACAATTTTTTTTTCAAGTTACGTCATTAATGCATTCAAGTACGTGGAACTTTTAAGATTTTGTGCGGTATTAGTGACGTATTATTTTATTAATTTGGATAAATTTATTAAAAACATGCTAATACAGAAACGCCTGTCAATAACGGTCACTAAAAATGACAGAACTATTGGCCGATATAAAAAGGTGGCCGCTAATACCAGGTTTTGTAGTCCACAAATTTTGGTTTGGGGAACTTTGTAACTTGCCGGCTAGTACAGGTGGCCAGTTTTGACAGGTGGTCGTTATAGATACCATTAAGTATAAATAAAAACTTAAGTATAAACATTCAAAACTTAAAATCCAAAAATATTCCATAGAGTCGAAATACATCAGATAAAGAGAGAATTTTTCCAACGGAATATTATTCTGCGACCTTATAATTCAATGCATTGAAGAAAGAACCATGTATAGGTGGTATAGATTTATTTTGGACGAGAGATTGTATGTCATCATACTTTTTCTTATTAATTTTGACTGGGGATAGATCATAATTTTGTATTTCTGATTATAACTTGTTTAAATTCTGTGCTGGTATAAGCAGTTTCATAAAAATAACGATCTGGATAATTGTTGTCGACTTTAATCATAACTATATCATTAAAGTTAAACTTTTCACCATTAATATTTACATTAAATGGCTGATTAGTACAATCGGATGTCATTTTTTTTAAGTCAACAAACTCATTATGAGCCATTTCAGTGATTTTAAACATACTTCCTGGTTTACTAGCAGTACTTATTATTGCTGAGTATTGAGCTGGTAGGAAAATGGGGCCCGATTTCAAAGCTCGTTTGATGTTTTTTTCGATTATGGAGTGACCTTCGTTTTGACCATGTCCCACTTCAAAAAATTTATGGATAATACTTTTTATTTTGAAATTAGTAACTGCATACAAAAAGGTGGTTACAACAAATTTATTTTTGCCTTGTCCTCCACAGTTATCTGAAAAGAAGACTACTTCCAAATTTTCAGAGTCAGCTCCATTAGCCGTTTTTCTTAAATATTTAAGTAGGCAAGAACCTATTTCAATGGATCCACGATTCCCTTCTCCTTGCCAAATATAGCACTCTACAGGACCAAGTCCTTTTTGTTGAAGGCTACAAACTGTAAAATTGTAACAATTTAAACGAGACTTATAATAAAAGGCTGAAACATCACCTTTAGGAAGTGGTAGAGCTGCTTG